TGGCGGAGCTTTTTTGCGCGGTGGCATTGCCACGGTTAGCGGTCAAGTTCTTCAGGGCGGCACCTGTTTTACCGCGGTGGCATACCCACAGTTCGCGGATGGTGCTCGTTCGTTCGTCTCGTCCGTTGTTGCTAATGTTGGTTGCTGTGTGTTGATGGTTTGAACTGGCACCTTAAGCCTTTGGGCTGGAGGTGACGTCCTTTGTTAGGCCAGGCTACTGCCTCGGTCAATTCTCCATTCCACTCCACTCCACATAAGAATTGTCGCGAGACTAGACATAGAAATGTTCCTGGTAGCTATAGAAACAACAGTGATAATGATGGCAATAATCAGAATAACAGTAGTCATATACCTCAAGTGCTACACATCGTCTTGCAGCCCCAGGTAAGCCATGATTCTATAGATAAAGTATAACCATACCTTTTAAGACTACATTTTGTACAACTGTATGGGTATACTCTCATATTTTCCGTGTTCAATATTATCCCCCCAGGCGTCTTGCAAATTAATTTGAATCCTGTTAAGCTTTATCAAACACGACATAGTCTTCATTCACTCCTTTCATCTTGGGGGCGCATATCTTTGTGGGAGATGGTGTTAAATTCCCTTCATATGAGCGTTTCCCCAAAAACAGGGGGACCCCCATAGAGACCCCTGAAGGACCCCCCGATCAAGGTACCCCTACTCTTGGGAAACCCTAAACCCTAAAGAGTAGCTTCCATCTTCCTTTCCATTATCCCTATATAACCCCTATAAAAACCCCTATATCTTATCTACTTAAGGGGGACTATAACCCCTAAACCCTAAATCCTAAACCCTAAACCTTGAATCCTAAACCCTAAACCCTAAATACTCCAATATAGTGACCCCTATATAGCCTTTATAGACCCCTATATGAGCAGTATTTTATTTGGGGATACTATGGTGCCCAATATAGAGTAATATTATATCCTCTGTTTGGGGTATAGTATTTTACATAAGGAATATAATCTTACTAGGTTCAACTGCCAAAACA